ATACAAAAAACTAAAAATTGTAAGCACGAAGCTTAGTGGGTCTCCCAAAATACCACATACCATACACATAAACACATAATATCATACATTGGGCGTTGCCCACTACATCGGACCCCGCCCGACATCAAACGAATCCGGCATCGGGCCCAACCTGGCATCGGACCGAAATCTGGCATCAGCCACCGCCTGGTATCGGACCGAAGTCTGGTATACATATAACATATCAACAAGCATTTAACATAAACATATAAACATTCCTTGGGCTTGCCCCAACATCGGACCGAAGTCTGGAACACATAACACATAACATGTAAGCTAAACATTCCTCGGGCTTGCCCCGACATCATACTAAAGTCTGGAACACATAAACAAACACATGCAAGAATCACAAAGACATCAAACATACAAACATTCCCCGGGATTGCCCCGACATCGGATCGAAGTCCAAAACATATAAGCTACATCAGGATAACCCTAGAATCAGACCTAAATCCGGCATACGCTAACATACATAAACAGACCGAAGTACGGAACACATAACACATAACATGTAAGCTAAACATTCCTCGGGCTTGCCCCGACATCATACTAAAGTCCGGAACACATAAACAAACACATGCAAGAATCACAAAGACATCAAACATACAAACATTCCCCGGGATTGCCCCGACATCGGATCGAAGTCCAAAACATATAAGCTACATCAGGATAACCCTAGAATCAGACCTAAATCTGGAATACGCTAACATACATAAACGGGCCGACATTGGTGCCTTCGACCTGTTCCTACTGGAGGAAAACTCACCTCTTAAGCTAGTTGCTGAAATATAAAATGAGGAATCTATGATGGCTGCTCCAACGACTCCCCGACTATAAATTCACAAGGAACACTTAGTCACAAACTGAAAATCCTTCTAAGGGTACAATGACCATTTTACCCCCGTTCAAAGTCAACATTCTGGGTTGACCCGACTTGCCGAGTTGCTTCATCAACTCGATGGGTCCTAAAACCCTGAAATCGCGATCTAACTCGTCGAGTCACCCCCTGACTCGCCGAGTTCCCTAGCAACTAATGGTTTTGATTTGGCGAATCAACTCGCCAAGTTATCCTCAGACTCGATGAGTTCTACCATAAACAGAAAACGAGACACACACGACTCAACTCGTCGAATTCCTATATGGACCCACAAGTTCCTCTGTCTGATTAGGCCATATTAATGGGTTAAGCCTCTACTCTTCTGATCCAAACACCATAACTCCTCTAAGTACTGGAAATGCCTTCTTAATGGTAAAGTTTCCAACTTTATCTGCTTATAGCCCTCCTTAATGGGTTTAGCTCAAACCTTAGTTATTTAGGACATGGATCTTTGTCCAACGGCCTTATTACTCCAACCCAAATCATGAAAACCCAGATCTAGGTCCTAAACACCCAATAAACATGTAAAGTCTCGGACGTTACTTCCATACATGGCCCTTTTGGGCTCAAAAGGCCATAGAAACGTCCTTAAGCCTGCATAGGGCTTCCATGGTCATAAAGCTTGCACATTTATGCCATGAAACCCCTTCTAGATCCCAGACCTGAAAGGTAAACCACTTGGGCCGTCCATATCCCAAGGATCAAGGTTCTTGAGTCAAAACCTCCCATAAATGGACATAAGAAGATCTAATGAACTAAAAGCCAAGATGGAGACTTAATTACCAGAAAATGATGAGGATTGAAGGGAGTTTTTGGATCTACAATCTTTTATTTGAGCCTTCTAATCCCTTCTTCTTCAAGCTTCAACAACACACAAGATTACTCACAAAAGAGTCACACACTCACAAAATGCTCTAGGGTTTTATGGATTAGGGTTTGGGACTTAGAGGCTAGAAATCAAGCCATAACGTGGGGATTAAGCTGCTTAAATAGGGTGTAAAACCCCGAAATTAGGGTTTCATTATGGCAGACCTACTCGCCGAGTTAAGGGCTCTCAAATCGTCGAGTAGATGGCTTAAAACCCGCATCCAATCTCGCTTCTACTCGACGAGTCTAGGGCTCCCAACTCGTCGAGTATCTCTATAAAAATAAACAAATTACAAATAAATCAATTTATTGTTTCAGGTACTTCCGGAGATCATGGCAAGGCGAAGGCTTTACCGTACCGCTCCTCATCCATATAATTATATTTCTGGGACACTCTGATGAATAATATTTTGAAAACATTTTGTAAAACGCTATTTGGTTTCATGTTTGAAAAAGTTTAAATTTGGCTTAAATTTTTTGGATGTTACAAACAAGCTCAAGGGACCTTGGTAAGCCATAAAGTTGAAAACTTTATCTCACTGAATCATTCAAAACACATCAAAGGACCCAAACATGCATAATAATCCTATATCTACTAAGAAGGAATAAAAAAGATTAGATCCTAAAATCTTACAAATGGTCCAGAAGGTGATCTCAAAGATGGGGAGGTGTTGCTTGCTTGATCCTTGCACCAAATCTTCTTATTCTTCCTTCAAGGTGCACCAAAAACACCAAAGATAAGCTCAAATGTGTGTGTAGGGGGGGGGGGGAGATAGAGATAGAGAGAGAGGATTAGGGTTTGCTTCAAGGCTCTTGGAGGTGATAAGGCTGAGGGTGGATGAAGCCCTAGCCATCACTTCCTTTAAATGTGGCCTTAAGTTCGAAATTTAGGGTTTTATCCAAAAACAGTCGCCACGTCGGGGCCAGTATATTGTCACGTCGTGGTAACTAAATAAGATGTGTGCTTTTGCGGGTCACGCCACGTTGTGGTGATACCTCACCCACGTCGTGACCATCCAAAACTCATAACTTTCTTAGAAAATTATACCTGAAAAATCTGGATGTTACAATTTGTCATCACCATACATAACAAGAAAGACTACAAAGCTCCCCATATACATTTATATGGGAAACCAAAGGAACATCGACATTTGTTATAAATTTTAATCAATCCACGAAACTAAAAACCTAGCTTTAATACCACAATAACATCTAACAAAATGGTTGATTTCTTTGTTTACGTACATAAGTTTGGGATCGAGAGTGCATCATTATTATTCTTCTGAATAAATAGTCCACCTTGGCGGTCATTCATGGGAAATGTACACGTAGGCATACAATCCAAAATGAATGTTTAAACAAAATGTTATCTAAAATTCGAAATCCGAAACATTGTCTTCGAAATGTCAAATTTAGGACATCATCGTCACTTTGACAAATGATTCAAAAGCTAATAAATTTGAGTATAATGCCATTTTGTGTGTCATTTATGTGATTACCTTTTTTTTTTTTTTTAGTTTGGTCATTGATGTACTCAAAGATAGTTAGTGCAACTGCAACCTACAATGCCTTATCTTTTACTTTCCTCTTCGTATCATTAATCAATGAAACCGGCAAATGGGAGCCCATTGTATTGTATGTAACGCGATATTTTAGATTATGAAAGAAGATATGGAAGAATGTCTCCATCTTGACCGTTCATCAAATCCAACTAGACAATAATATTTTTGATTAAATTAAATTAATATTAATATTCTTCCAAACTCAAGAGAAAAAATAATCGGAATAAAGTCTATATTCCCTTCACGCAACCCTAAACCCTTTCAATCGCACGTCTAATTGGGCCACTTTTCCAATTTCTCCCCAATTTCTCATCAAAATCCATTACTCCCTTGAAACAATGAGCAACTCCCATAGTTATCTTTGATAAACAAACACAAAAATATGTAAATCAAGAATCAAGATCTTTATCTAATTCATGTTTCCCTGGTAAACTTTGTGTTAATATGCCTTGGTTGGACAGTCTACCTGTAAAAGCATTAACTTTTTCCCCCAAAAACTAAAATCTTGACCAAACCCACTTCAATTTCCCCTTTCCGACTTTGATTTTCTTCATATCCATCCAAGAAAATTGGTTGGGGAATCAAAATAAATTCACAAACAGGTATAAATATAAATCTTCTTTTTTAAACAATTTAACCACATGCTCATTCCTCTTTATCCAAAGTATACATGTGTTGTGTTGCGTGTTAATTAGGTTTAAGGTATTATGATATTTTTATGTTTTCATCATGGATATTAAGATGCTCTTGCAATTTGTTTTTCAATCTAGTGTTTTCTTGTCCCCTACAATGATGTAATTTGTGGTTTCTGTTTCATACCAATTTTGGGGATCTGACAAGTTTCAAGATTATAAGTTGTTTTTTTTGCCATTATTAACCAATTATGGTTTTGTAACCTAGATTTGAGTGTTTGATGCTTGTTTGGTTCTGTTAGGAATCTTGGTCGGGTCGGGTTAGGCTTGGCTGTTTATTTCTGTTTTGATTTTGATTTTGATTTTAATCTCAATTTGATTAGCGGTTGTGCATGTCAAATTTACTGGTTTATTGTTTCTTTGATTTTTAGGGTTGATTGATTTTTGTAGCCATATTCAACATCAGGGTGTGAGCTGCATTTTGGGGAAAAGGATATGTAAGTTCTTTGAAATTTCTATTTTGCAAATTGAACGTTCTAGAATTGAAGATGCTTATATCCTATGATGATCAATATTTACAGTCTAAATCCATCAATATATGAATAATTTCATTATCAAACCTCACAAAGAAAACATAAAGTTAACTTGATAACAAAAGATTCACTCAAAGCATTACCAAATTAAAGTGTTGTTCCAAAGAATTCAATAGTCTCAATATTTGACATTTCGTCTTGTATTACCTAAAAAGGAATTCAGAATATCAAGATTTCACATTCTGTCATGTATTTCTTAAACCAATTCAAGAATATCAAAATTTCACATTTTGTGTTGAAATGTTTCTTTAAAGGAACCCGGGAGTATCAAGAATTGATATTTAATGCTGTAATTCTCAAAAGAATTCAGGAATTCAAAAAAAAAAATCAAGATTTGACATTTTGCGTTATATTTCTTAAAGAAAATTCAAGAATATAAAGATTTCACATTTAATATTGAATCCCTTATCTGATTACCAGAAAATATTGAATGCATGTTCTAACAAAGCCTATTGGGATGGGGACACAACTCATTAGGCATCCCCTCAAAGAAGAGAGCCTCAACATTCCATCAATTCCACCTGGTTTCGAGTCTTTTACACCTTTTAGAATAGACGATGATACCCCCGCATCCACAATTGGTTCTGCATTACAAACAGCAAAAAAAGAACAAGAAATCGTGCACCATGAGGATAAAAAAGTAAAAAGGTCTCTTAGGCGTAAACCAGGGATAAACTATGCTAATTTTGATTGCTCTTCAGGAGACGAGTCTAATTCCAAGACATTCAATCACATACACATTGTAATCCCTTAAACTTAATTCTTATGTTTCTTTTTCCATTTTTCCATCTGTCCATATATTTGACACATTATTGATGATACTGGATCAAACTTCAAGATCTCGTGGGGTTACACGTGGGTGTGAAAAGGGTAGCAATTGCCAAAAGGTTTGATCTTTTGTTGCAGATTATAAAATCTTTTTGTTTATTCATGTGCTAAAGCTTGAAACTTTTTGTGTTTAGGTCATTGCAAAATGGCATCCAGAAGAAGCCCGGTTGCCTAATCTTTCAGAGGCTCCTGTTTTTTATCCGAATGAAAAGGTTAGGATTTAATGGAGATGTTTTTTGTGTATTAAGTCAAAAGGAAACACTATATATAGCTTAACATATTAAGAGGTTGTTTCTTATTGACTTAATGAGCTTAATGGGTTAAGCACTTAATATAGACAGCTACACATGACTGTTTCTTTTTTACTTAATCTTGGAAAGAATGACTTAATGGGTTAAGCCATAAAAACCTGGCTTTATGTATTAAGACACCAACCATGTTCCTTTTTTGCCTTTTAATGTATTAAGACACCAACCATTGTGAAAATTGTTTGTTAGAACTTAGAATGTAAGGATACAATGGTCATTTAGTTTTATGTATGCATTCCTAGACCTTATGTATGCATACATGACTTAATGAAGTAAATGGATTTCATTTTGTTTTCAGGAGTTTGAGAATACTTTAGAGTACATTGCAAGCATACGCGATAAAGCAGAAGTATATGGCATATGTCGTATAATACCACCTTCATCATGGAAACCTCCATGCCCTCTCAAGGAAAAAACCGTGTGGGAAACTTCCATGTTTTCCACTTGTATTCAAAGGGTTGACAAACTTCAAAATCGGGATTCCTTGAAAAAATCTTTCAAACCAAATCACCACAAAAAGAAAAGAAGGCGAAGAAGCACAAAAGCAGGTGTTGATCAAGATCATGAGACCCCTGGTTCTTCGAGTCCAATGGCTCATGATTTTGGGTTCGAATCTGGTCCAAGTTTCACCCTTGATGGATTCAAGAAATATGCGGATGATTTCAAAACACAATATTTTAGAAAAAATGTGGATGAATCCAATACTAAAAGATCATGTGAACCCTCTATTATAAACATTGAGGGTGAATATTGGCGTGTGGTAGAGAAGCCTACCGAAGATGTCGAGGTAATTTGTAATTTTTACTATTTTATCATCATCAATACCCAAATCCCATAAGAATGGGGTGAGAGAGATAGTAGATACTAGCAATAAAGCTGAAAGTAAAAGGGGACAAAAGTACAAAGTTAATATTGTACATTGTACAAAAAGTAATAGAAGAAAAGAAATAGCAGATACTAACAATAAAGCTGAAAGTAAAAGGGGACAAAAGTAAAAAGTTAATATTGTACGAAAAGTAATAAAAGAAAAGAAATAGTAGATACTAACAATAAAGCTGAAAGTAAAAAGGGGACACAAGTAAAAAGTTAATATTATACGAAAAGTAATAAAAGAAAAGAAGTAGCAGATACTAGCAATGATGTTGAAAGTAAAAAGGGGACAAAAGTAAAAAGTTAATATTGTATGAAAAGTAATAAAAGAAAAGAAATAATAGAAACTAGCAATAAAGCTGAAAGTAAAAAGGAGACAAAAGTAAAAGGTTAATATTGTACAAAAAGTAATAGAAGAAAAGACACTAGGACCTAAACTACTTTGTTACCTTGATTTTAAGCCTCCACACCCTCCTATCTGAGGTCTATGTTACTTGTAAGTTGTAAATAATTTGTTTTTTTTTCAATGTAGGTGCTTTATGGAGCTGATTTAGAAACGGTAACATTTGGTAGTGGTTTTCCCAATATGCCCTCACAAGTTGAAGGTGTGGATGAAAAGTATTTAAAATCCGGTTGGAACTTGAATAACTTCCCAAAGCTTCCAGGTTCAGTTCTCTCATATGAAAGTAGTGATATATCGGGTGTTTTGGTTCCATGGTTGTATATAGGAATGTGCTTCTCATCTTTTTGTTGGGTGAGTTAAAAGATATAGCAACAAACTTTCATTAATTTATTATAACTTATTATAATAGCATATTAGCATCTTTACTTTCATTTCATATTTTCATCATATTGCAGCATGTTGAAGATCATCATTTATATTCAATGAATTACATGCATTGGGGGGATCCAAAAATATGGTAAGGTGTTCCAGGACAAGATGCCATTAAATTAGAAGAAGCTATGAGAAAGCATTTACCCAATCTTTTTGCACAACAACCAGATTTGCTTCATAAACTTGTAAGTCATAGGTTTGAATGAATCTACATTTTTTTAAAGAAAACTTTTCAGAATTGTAAAAGTTGAAGAATTATTTCATTTCAGGTGACTCAACTTTCTCCATCAATACTAAAATCTGAGGGGGTGCCTGTGTATCGATGCATTTAAAATCCTGGAGAATTTGTGTTGACTTTTCCTCGATCATATCATTCGGGATTCAACTGTGGTTTTAATTGTGCTGAGGCTGTGAATGTGGCTCCTTTTGATTGGTTGCTTCATGGGCATAATGCAATTGAACTTTATCGTGAACAAGGGAGAAAAACGTCAATTTCTCATGATAAACTCTTGCTTGGAGCTGCAAGAGATGCTATAAAAGCTCAATGGGAAATGAATTTGCTTCGAAATAATACGCCTGATAACCTAAAATGGAAAGATGTTTGTGGGAAAGATGGGATCCTATTGAAAGCCCTCAAGGTAACAATCTTTTTTTGTCATGTGTTTGTTATGTATATTATGTTATACGGTTTTTGTTTTACAAGATTTTTGTTGTGTGTAGGAACGTTTGGAAATGGAGCATGTGATGAGGGATTATCTTTGCAAAACTGGTCAAAAAGCATTAAAAATGGAAGCCACATTTGATGTCACAAATGAGAGAGAATGCAGTGTTTGTTATTTTGATTTGCATCTTTCGGCTGCAGGGTGTCATAATTGCTCACCTAACAAGTATTCTTGCTTGAATCATGCAAAAGAATTTTGTGGGTGTTCATTGAACTCAAACTTTTTCCTTTTTCGTTATGACATGAGTGATTTGGGGATTCTTGTTGAAGCTTTAGAAGGGAAATTAAGTGCAATTTATAGATGGGGAAAACTTGATCTTGGACTCATATTAACCAACCATGCCCCTAAAGATTTGGGTATGATAAAGTCACCATCCAAAGAGACTTTGGTTGTGAAAAATAGTGATGATGTTATTATTCTTAGTGATGATGAGGGTGAAAATTCGGTCAAAAAAGACAAATCTTGCAAAAGTGATACACTACCGGCTCGTGGGTCCCACCAAGAAATGGTTTCCTCCCAAAACAATCTTGAGAGATGTAAAAGACGTAAAGGTCCTTGTATTGCTAAGGTTGTTAGAAGGTTAAATTGCAATGTTGAGCTTCTTGAATTTGGAATTGTGCAATCAGGAAAGTTATGGTGTGATAGTTGTGCCATTTATCCTAAAGGTAAGCTTTTCACTTTAAAAAGATTATTATATGATTTATATCCTACAAGAAAAATGGAATATTAAATGTTTAATTGTGTGTAGGATTCCGGAGTAGGGTTAAGCATATAAATATTCTTGATCCAACAAATACATGCTACTACATTTCAGAAATCTTGGATGCAGGATGGGATAGACCTATATTTATGGTATCAAGAATCATTTTTTTTAATAAATCTTGCTTATTTACTCGAACCCTTAATGGAAGCTGATATAAAGATTGTTTCTTTAAAGGTTTCTTTGGAGAATTGTGTAAGTGAAGTGTTTATCCATTTATCAGCTGTGAAATGTTGGGATATGGTGAGGGAGAGGATTAATCAAGAAATCTTGAAGCTTCATAAGTTGGGAAGATTAAAGCTTCCACCTTTACAACCTTCTGGAAGTCTTGATGGCATGGAAATGTTCGGTTTCTCCTCCCCTTTCATCTTACAGATAATCTTGAATGTTCAGTTTCGCGTATTATAATTGTCTTTCACTACTAATCAAATGTCAGAAGTACCATTTAATGTCCACAAAACACAAGATTTTGAGAAAACATTGAACTGATGATTTGTTATAATGGTGTTTAATAGGGGATTCAATCAAAGGATAAGCATCAGATGTGTAAAGAATACTGGGAATCAAGGCCTTTTCACACTCAATCCCATGATGATATATCTGGGAATTCATCTGTAAATACTGAAGATCAAAGTAACTCAGGAGATGATACCATAGTATCGGGTTTGCTCAAGAAAGCAAATTTAGATGAATTAAATGTGTTTAAAACCGTTTTAACTAATGATGATTCAAATCAGAATAAGGTAATGAGACTCCTCAATGAAGAGATTGTGAAACGACTGAGACAAATAAAAAAAAAAAGCTCATGGGTGTTTGGAGCAATGAGGTGATTCAACATCTGATCAAAATAGGGTAATGAAGAGATGGTTAAACAACTGACATGATCTAACTAAGGCTTTTCTTGTTTTGTGAAATGTTTGAATCTTGTGTAGTTAGTTAGTGGTTAGAATAGGGTTTTTCTGTTAGTGACAATGGTAGATATCATCATATTTTTGTTGGGTGTTGGGTTGACTTTGAGAAATTTGAATTCTTTGTCAAGTCATCATTTTTTGAGACTATGGTGTTGGTTTCTTTGACTTAAGAGGACAAGCTTTAATATTTGACTTGATACAACCACATAATACCAAACTATAATTCTTATAGCTTATAGCTTATAGCTTATAGCTTATAGCTTATTGTTTATCCCAACCTCCATTGTAATTCTTGTTACAATAGCAAAAAATGGATTATGAAGCTAACATATAAATAGTTGCATTGTTCAATAGTCATAAACTGTAGAAAATTTGAGTAAATGCACATTTTCTAATTCACGAATGTGGTATTGGTTTGTGCCTATTTACAGGCTTTATTTATGAGGTTATTATAAATTTTGTAATGAAATATTTACGATGTACATATAGTTAATGCTTCTTTATCCTTCCCCATAAGGTTGTGTACTGACAAAGTGGCTCTATATTTGTCATGGTGAGCGTCAAATAAGCTTATAAACATATGGAGTTCTATATTTTTTAAGATAAACGTCAAATAACATATTAGTAAAATTTATTCCGGTTGACGCAAACGAGGATTCTCTGTGAATTTGGGCTACGACATTAACTATATTATTTCCACAAACATTTATAGTTTGATTTGAGGCGATAACATACACAAATACATTAGGCAAGTTCTTGAAATATTTTGTAAATTTTTTTTTTCATTAGTTTTGTCAAATTGGTTCATATATTTTCTTTGATATTTTTGTTGGAATATTTCCGCCATATATATATATGGCCTTAGGACCATTTATGTAAAATTACATAGTCGTTACTGTATATACTTTTAGTGATGTATGATGTATCTATGCCAATATGACATAATTGGTACCCCCATTGGTACAAGAAATAAATCCCCAACAACACCAATAAATCTTCTATGTAAATCTCCATCAAATTGGGACATCATAACGAGAATCATGTCTTCATCTCCTACACCAAACATCAAGATTGATTATCCAAATACATCTTCTAAATTTTCTGTGTTTGAATTGATAAGAAAATGAACGAGACATAACTAAGTTCTAGAAATTAACCAACAATTTTATATCATTTAAATTTATAAATCCTTAAATAAATATGAGTAAGTATTAAACTACTAGTACTATAATAAGCATATGATAAAAGTATTGATGTATGTTCACAAACTTCTAACATATCACACATTGATTCAATCCTAAAGCATTATCCCTTCGTAATCAATCAATTTACCCCTTCACTGCCTCCCTACTAGCTTGTAAATGTTGGAGGTATGTAGGGTGATGGCGGAGAACTATATTTCTCTTGGATCTTGTAAGTTTACTTTACGAACTGATATTTTCATCATATGTCTGAGTTATAGAAAATCCTGCTTAGGATAATCCAAAAGGACACTTGTATATCTAGGCACAGAAACACAAGTCAAATCGCCAGAGGGTTCTGAGTTTGTATAGAATAAGAATAGTTAAGAAGGGTTCTTTTACGACTCACTTAAAGAGTCGTATTTATATTAGGCATATTAAGGTTTCTTGTCTTCTAAACTAGTTAGGAGAATCACGTAATTAATGGCACGATCAATGGTTTCCAAAATTGATAAGATTTATCAATTTTACCATAATCACCCACTAGAGTTTGGATTTTCCATAAGGTAACTAATTCAAATTTCCGAAGACCTTTTGGGGTGCTACCCCAAACCCCGCGAGGATGTTGCCCCTCAACCTTGCCCGCCACTACTAGGGGCTCTGCCCCTTGGACCCTGCAAGGGGGCTGCCCCTGCCATTCTATCATATCGACTTATAATTCGATCTTATATATGCCTCCACTCCTCATTCATCTAATATATAATATAGAGTACAAATGATATATATGATTAAATGTATTTTTTTGCCTTTAACAAACTTTCAAGCACAAAAAATAGTTTGAGTTTACTTCGTAGGAACTTCAAAATTTTGACCAGGCTTGAGCATTGACATCCCAACAAAATTTCAAATACCTAGCAGATTTTTGCAAAAATAAATTTTATAGATCCATAATTTTGTATCATTCATTATCCAAGTTTGGCTTGCACCAATACATTCAAGTTGTTAGTAATACAGTGAGTATCGAAAATACACCTATTTGGTTGGAGGGGGAGAGGGGTTTGGTGTTGATCTCACCAGGCTACCAAGGATGGAGAAAACTTTTTTCATGGTTAGGGAGTGGGGAAGAAGAAGAAGAAGAAGAAGAAGAAGATAGTAAGGAGAGAGAGAGTCGTCAACATTACCGAGCCAGCTTAGTGGCTGCCGAGCTCCTGTAGAGGCTACTCCTTAGCCTTATCATAGGTTTATAAGTGAAATTAGTTTTCTTATCACATACATATGATTAGCCAAGTGTTTAATGACACATAAATAATTTATTTTTTTAAATGATAAGTACTAATTATTATTTTGTAATGTATTATATAAAATGACCCATGAGTCTTGTAAACTAAACATTCCGAAAAGAAATACTATGTTTCATCATTCGCGAGCTAGGGTTGTTACATAAATATAAGATTCTAGTCAATTTTTTGGATTGGACCAAATGTCAAAAATTAACGACCCCCCTTTTCTAATTTGAAAATACTTATTGTATATTGGACTTTGCTAAATCCTGCATTTTATAACATATTGTCTAACGGTAAATTAATTTACTATATGATATTGCGGTTGAAATGTTTTCTAATAAGCATTGTCAAGTGTGGATGGTCAAAATGGTAAGATGAAAACCCTTCTTAGAGATACACTTGTACATCCTTACACAAACCAAATTGTTCTCGAAATAAACCCTTACACGATCTTGTGGGTTATTCACATGTATATGACCAATATAACACCTCCCCATGTATTGCTTATGATCCTGATGAAGTTTGTCCGATTCATAAATTCACATACGGTCTTAAACAAGTCCTATGTGCTTTGTTTGAGAAGTTGTAGATGATGATTATTTTTCTTGGTTTTCTTATCATGAATTGACATTGTTTTTCAAATACATAAAGGCGTATCAGATTGTCTTATCCTCATATGTAGATGATATGATCATCCCTAATGATGACATTAAGTCTCTAAAGCGTGATTTGGCATATCGTGTTGCTATATAATCATACTACTATTCATCGGAGAGCTATTATTTTCATTTTGAAACATTGAGGCACTGAGTTTCAGAATATTGTTTCTTTCGACATCCTCTATAGAATTACACACTTATAGTGATGTTGATTTGGATGACGATCCCAATTATGACAATCTATTACTGTTGTTGTTGTTGTTGGGTTTTTTTTACTATCTCGTATAAGAGTAAGAAACAAGACATTTCTCATTTTTCTATAGTTTGAGTACCATGCAATGTTTGTTACTACTTGTGAGATTGTTTGGGTGTATTAATTACTTATAGTTATAGGTGTTGTGTTTCTCAATCCACTCCCTAAACATTAGTGTGATACAAATTGTTCATAATTTTGTTAATTTCCACGAGAAAATGTCATTTTACTCGTCATCATTTTCAACTTGGAACCAACTCATTGTCCTATTTTCCTTCATTAGAATAAAACATGAATGTTTGATTACTTGCCATAATTATTTATTTATTATCACCACAAATCACATACAAAGGACGTGTTCAACTACTGTAGCGGATAACTTGTAACGGGTAGCTTGTAGCTTGTAACATTTTATTAAACGCTACATGCAGTATCATTTTGATTTGAAGTGTTTTGTTTAAACTAAACGCTAGAAACTTGTAGTTCCAAACGAAGCTTTATGTTCAAATCAGAGCATTTTGTCAAACGCTAAAAACTAGAAACTCTCAAACCCTCTGTGCTAAACACGTCCAAAATACTTCAATTTGATTCATAATTTTAGACTAGTATATTATCAGTAGAATATAATCTGAATATTTGAGTACTTAAAACGTTGTTCAAATAGTATGTTAATTAGAAAATAAAGAGTATTGCTTTCACAAAAAGCCCTCTAAATGAAAATTATTCTATAAGTGGATGAATAAATGGAAGACGGTATAAAACATCTTCCTATTCTAATAAAAGAATACATTTAATCTCCTTTTGACATGTGTCATCTTATTAGGCTTTTTAATAAATATATATTTTTATTCTAGTTTTGACATGTGTCACCCTATTAGTCTTCCTAATTAATGCATGTCATTTATTAATATATTAATTCTCAATTTTAAATTTTAAATTTTAAATTTCCCATTCTAATTATATTAAATTAATAACATTGCAATAAAATTAATACAAATTATAAGATGATATAATTTATATATTTATTTAAATTAACAATTATAATTTTATATAACTAAAAAATATCTTTTAATTAATAATTTGTTTAAAATATTTGATTAATAATATTGAGTTTTCACTATAAAGGTTTAATTAATTTTGTAACCGTGGTTCCTACGGGTTATAACCTAGTTATTTATATAATATGTTAATGAAAAAGTGAAAGTGTAGGTTGTAGCTTCTAGGGACTCGAGTAATGGTTCATTGAAGCTGAAATGAAAAGGAAAAAAGAAGAGAAGGCTAAAGCTGGAAAGCATTGAAAGAAGAAGGGCTGATGGGCATAAAAGAAAAAGACAAAGTATTAAACATATCATTTCCATTTTCCACTCCTAGTATTTCAGAAACGAAAACGAGAGAAAATCAGGCAATTCAAGGGGTTGGTACCCATGTGCATGTGGTTCGGTCGCACGAGGCCTCTGAAGTTAGAGGCAAGGGCGAAGCTACCTATGGGCTAGGGTAGGCCCAGGCCCATCTTCAAAAATCTCAAAAAATCTTTTTTTTCTTATATATATATATATATATATATATATATATATATATATATATATATAAGGACTTCCTTGAAAAAAAATTATGGCTTCGACCCTGGTTAGAGGGCCTCCGAATTTCGAGACAAATGTATGTATATTTATGATGTTGGTATTTTTATAAAATACATTTTTATGTGTTATCATTCTAGAAAATTAGCCATGTCAATTACTTATATACACAATGTAACATTGGTTTGCAATCTTGAAGTCATTTTACTTATGAAAAAAAAATCAAAGAAAATCAAAATGTAATCATAAATTCTAAAATTTATCATAAATTTAAAGAAAATATCTATATCCAAAGAAAAATACAAATTTGTTTCTAATATAAATTCTAGCAAATGATTTCATATACACTTTACCCGAAAAATCTAATTTAAAAAATCAAAATCGAATCATAAATTCTACAAGTTATTTTTCCACAAGAAAGTCTCATTTTAAAATCGTTGTCATCTATAAGGTGAGAAAGTAAAATTGAAATGTGAAAGTAATAGCAACTTAAGGTCCTAAAATAATAAAAGCTCTATATAAACTTGTTAATAAAGACACATATATAATTAAATATCAAAAGCGAAGCTATCTGTCTAAGAGAGTAAGAACTTGGCAAATTTGTCTTTATACTTGTTATGGTTATATGGTATCATATATTGGTTAAAGTAAACAACCTGACCAAACAAATTTAATCTGAGACTGTGCGTATTGATGAGACAAAGAGTAGCGTGAGAGTAGTTTTTGAGTTTTTTTAACGGCTATTGAGAGAATGAATTTGACAAGGCTTGAGATTGTGCGGGAGCTATAACTTCTTATTTATAAATTGATTTGGTGTTTGTTGAAAAATATAATAAAATAACAATTAAAAAAAATACAACGAGAGTGATGTTGGGTCATCAAAACAGATACATGAACTTTTCACCTCATGAGTCATTCATAATTTAATATTTTGTGTACATAGTTGATCAAGCTATTAGTTCATTGAAGGAAAAGTTTGAATAATATAACAATATAAACGATATGAATATCTTTTTGGTTTCTTAATAACAAGAAAAAAGTTGAAGTCACTAAATACTAGTGAGTTAAAAAAAAGTTGTAAAAATCTTGAAAAAAGTTTGCAAAATGGTCATATCTCAGATATCAATGTTAATGATTTATTCAACGAACTCAAATTGTTACAAAAACATTTACCACTTGAACATAATAATAATACAGTTATCGGAATACTAAATTTCTTGAAAATGATAAACATTTATCTATTTTCTTATCTATTATATAAAATATTGTTGACTATTCTCGTTATAATTACATCAACCAATTTTTTTTTTTTCAAAACTAAAGCTTTTAAAATTTTATATGTGCTTGACCATCTCAAGAGAGATTAAATGGTGTTTCTTAATTTCAGTTGAGAATGAATTTCTTGATAACATTGATTATGAAAAATTGAAAATGTGATAGATGAATTTTCTTATAAAAATACTAGAAGATTAGTGTTTAGAAAATAGTAATCCGTTGACTTTTAATCATTTATTTTTAAAATAATTGCTTGTAACAATTACAACTTATAATTAATAAGTAAAGACATGATGTTGTGGTAGTGAATTTACGGGATTTTTGTTAAACTTTGTAAGTTTTGAATTTAACAGTAGCACAATAATTTAATATTATTTTACAAAATGAAAATTATGGGGTTTCATTTTGATTTTCGCACAAGGCCTTCGAAATTTTTGGTACGCCATATTGTTCTTCTTGGTAACTAAATCTGCAAAACACTTATTGTAATGATTCTCTTTCAAAGTATACATTTGGTATAGTTCGTGTATAAAGTTGTATTCCCAAGTCCATTTTAAGGAGAGAATTGAAAAGAAAAGGAGAAAAAACATGATATTTTAGTAATGTGACATTAAAATACGACTAATATATAAATTCTAGAAGTTATTGGCATTACCGAATGTCGTTTTCCTAAACGACAAAGAATTATAATATTTTAGTAAAATACTAACAACGAATGTCAAAGCTAGGATACCTACGTTCACTGTGTATCCCAATATGAACCATCTTATAGGGTAAATCCAAAAACGCAATGTTCCTTGGTAAAAACCCTCCTGGTTATAACTGTTAATCTGCATAGAACGACTAACGACAAGTATAAGCGTCATATTAACGACCTTATATTGTTCGACGCCCGCTTGGGAGTTGCTAACTACAACTATGTCTGACGAAACGAATTTTGGCGTTGATGTTAGTACCATTTAAACATTAACTTGTGTTATCCTAAGGTGAATAGCTTGAGCATGCCCTGTTAAGGTGTCAGTGCAAGAGTGTGTTAAGGTGTCAGTGCAAGAGTGTGGTGTCATACGTTCAATTATAAATCATTGTATAAACCTGAAAACCCAAATTCCACAGAAATTGGAATAACTATTCAGGGGCAAATTACCCCACGATTCAGTTAAGAATTAAGGAGAGTAAGAAGAGATTACCTTACTGATACCTCGTTGGTTTTAAAATTAATTATTAGTATGATTTGGTTAATAATTAAGGAAAGTATGAGAAGTTTACCTTACTGATATCTTGTAGATTTCAAACTAACTGATATACAAAAATCTATTTAACCGATATACAAACTGTTAGTAATAATTAACATATGATAAATTGGGGATCCAAAAATCTATTTAATTCTTAATTCTTATACTAATTATGTGACAGTTAAATAAAACTCAAAAAGGGGAAAATGGTTATTTCGTTGTCTCGAAAATAAATATTGTTGTTTTATATACAAAACTCTCTCTCTCTCTCTCTCTCTCTCTCTCTCTATATATATATATATATATATATATATATATATATATATATATATATATATATATATATATATATATATATATATATATATATATATAGTCAAAACCTGTAGAACTCACCAACAAATTTGTTGACGTATTTTAGCATGTTTTCTCAGGAGATTAAGGCAGAAATTTCGCGCAAGAAGTATGGGATCACCAACTTATGTTTCTGTTGTAAATTATGTTTATGTCCTCTTTTCGCGTCAATGAAGATTCGTAGTAAAACATGTAATAATGTAAGATATAAGTACGAGATACGTGGTGAAAACCTTTAAGTGAATGTCGTAATGTTTAATATATGCTATGTGTATAATATTCGATTTAAGTCACTCGCCCGACAATTCCACCGATGGCTGGGGGTGTAACATCGCATGCTATGCAACTCTGAACTCAATCTTCGTCAAGTGAAATTTGTTACTAATGGTCTCATAGAGGCTTGGAAAATAGTATGTCTCGTATTTTTTAATTATTATTTTATCTTTTAATTTGCATTATAAGACTATAGCTTTTCGTTTCGAGTCAAATATTGTTGCTTCAGTGAACGTATCTCAAAACTCTTGTTATTGATTGATTTCAAATGTCATATTTTAGGTGGCGACTTTTGAATCAGCTTGTGATTTGGCTTATGAATAAGCTCTTGGATCAACAAATACATCTTTAATAGCATCGGCAGGGATCGTAATGGTTGACAACATTGATGTTTAGTTAAGTATATAGTTTTGGGCCCCGTCAACCTAGTAGTTGAAGTGTGAAATTCTACACATGAAGTCTAGGGTTCAACCCTGACACACCCAAATTATTACTGTTGTTTTGCAATCAACCTTAGAGTAGGTTGATATGGGTCGTTTAGATGATATTGTTTATCAGTTTTTTAGTATACAATCTTGATTATATCTTGTTTGTTATTTAATAAATCTCTAAATTGGAAGTGTTTGGTATATTTATCTGAAGAATATGCAAGATGAAATGGGGGACAACTCAAAAAAGCGTGTGAGGCATACACATCAAGGAGAGGTTGTGGAAAAGTGCCATAGAGGCTCCGCCTCTGTGCCCCCAATTGAGGCGTATGCGAGACAAGGTGATAGAAGCTACTATTTACCTGCTATTAATGACAAAGAAATCTAGAATTCACTGATTATGTTTTTACTAAATAGTTATTTATTTTTATGTTTCAAACTAACAAGTATTTATTTTTATGTTTCAAACTAACAAGCTGTGCTGATAAACCTTTTTATATAATAAAACCAAATCTTTTGAAGACTACATCAATTTATTACTTATTTTCTTCTTTAGATTGGCAACTACTTGGAGAATATGTAACTTAGTTTTATGCACCATTGTTCATAAAACAAAAACAACACTATATTTGACGGATAATTTAATAAAAAGTTTCAGCTTACGACAACACAAAGGAAAATTGTTAACCAAAATCGAAGATATAAAGTACACAAAAGCACAAATAACAAATATATGTTACCACCATGCTTCATTCGAGTAACCAGGAAAGATAAAGTTTATCCTTTTTCATCGGTTAAATTATACTGTTATTAAATCTTAATTGTCTAAATTAAGTCTCTTGACAAAATATACTTTACACAACATTTGAAGAAACATCCATTGTGTTGCTGATTTTAGTGTCATCACGTATTTTTAGTACCTAAAACTTACACTTACACGAGTAATGAACGATATTTTTAGGCTTTGCATAAGTACAAGTCAAAGGACATTCTTACGATTCTAACAAAATTAATACTCCATAAAATTCAATAGCAAGATGCAAGATTTCATAAATGCATTACATAAACCGATGTTTTCACACGCATACCAAGACCTCTCATATTTCATCTTCTTCTTCGAAGGGATCCCTTTCAGGATAATCACCAACCTGCATAAAAACACCATTTAGGAGATAACTGTAAGAGAACAACTAAAAAAAACATTGTATGGAGCAATTATTAAAATTATAGTTTGAAATTTATAGAAATGGTTGCTCACCTTTACTTTGTCTGGTCTAACCATGGCTCCATGGAGTGGGGGACAATCAAAGAACCGTGTCCCTTTTACCCTGTCAGCATCACCAAAAATATTTTGAATAAAAAAAAAAAATGAACTTTATTACAAAATGTCTAAAAAACAAGCCAATTTGAATTTATGTATTATTTCACTTACATGCCATTGTGTTTCCCCAATGGTTCATCATATTGGATTCCAACCCAAAAACCAGGTGCAAGTGTATCTGCCCTACCCACAAATTTCACAATTCCCCTTTTTGCCCCTGGATCAACTTCACATCTATCTCCCACCTATGATAAAGGGCAAATACGTAATTTCAACTTGGGATTATTGATCATCAAAATCGACTTGGTTACAAATAACCTTGATATTTGCAGAAATATCTTCCATGTAACTATCATCCATCTGTCAAATATTACAAAAAAAGTCAATAGTCAAACCAAAAATATATCACACAAAGACTAGTATTTCTATTATCTAATACAACTTCCTTTTTTTTTTTTTTATATATAAATAAAATTAATACCTTTTCTTGGACAGAACTACTGCGAGGTCCAAGCTTTTCTTTAAACTTTCTGTATGTGCCTACAAACATATATATAACAATTTATGTTTATCTTATGCTAAATGAGAATTTTTTATAAAAGAATTACCATCAAGTTTATCATATGCTTCATCAGAAATCTTGTATTTTTCCACCAATGAAGTATCCTCCAGCCACCCACCAGATGTTACAGATGAAGGGTCAAGATCTATAACATGTAGCCGAAATCTACAATAATGTAAAATAAATTAAGAAGGAAACCTCACAAGAGAACACACACACACACACATACTCACCCATCTAGTGGAGAGTAGAAGCCAAGAGGTCTTGTATTATCAGTTATGTCTGATAGTTTAACACCAGTGTCATCATATAGTTCAAGGCGCATTGAAGCAACAGAAGTGCCACATTTTTTCCATAGTTTGTCTTTAACAGCTTCTACTGTGCTCTAAAAACAGCAATTAACTTATGAAAATAAGATGATAAATATTTTTTTAAGCACCAAGATTGGTGCTATGATGAATGCAGAAAGTAGGATACCTCAAGTGAGAATCTAGCATCGGTAGAGAATGTCTTGAGATTAGAATGAGTTATACGTAACAATACAGAGTCATCAGCTGGAAGTTGTAAGAGGGATGCCATTGCAACAAATCTAAACACAAAATGCCCTTCTTTAATGAGTTGAATGATCCATGTTCTTGCAAGAAATCCATGATCGGAAAGTTATAAAAATGGGGGGTTTTCCCAAAAACATTAAAGAATTAAAGAGTAATTTGGTTTTGAAAGATCTAGTCGTTTCATCAAACAGTTGGTGCGCACAAAGAGAAAAAGCTCAGTTGGAAACAGTATGATTTAAAACCCTACAATTTGAATCAATTTAGCATCAAATGAGATATGGAGGAAGGGAGTAAAAACTAACCGAGAGTTATAGCGGAGTGATAGATTCCTGATCTGAAGAAACGATGGCAGGCCTCTGTGACCTGCTAACTCTCCCTGCGCTTCAATTTTTAGTTTCTAAAGGCGTGCTTCTAAAATTTCACTTTGTATCCTTTCATTATAGTTAGAATACATCTATCGTCCATATGTTTCCAAACTTTCACTTTACACGCTCCTTATTTGTTGGTCTGGCCAAAAGTTAAGTTAAGAACAAAAAAATTGTTTGTCATCATGTTTGCTTTGGGCTTTGACCTTTGCGCTTTGGTCAATCATGCACCAGGACACAACATGACTTTGTATTTGGATGATATTACTATATTGGCTAGATTTTTCAAAAATTGATATCGTTGATTAATTTTATACTATAATATGTATAATCTGAAGCAATATAATGCATTTGATTGCTTATTCATTGTCCACAACTACAAACAAGTACAATGATTACTTAAATTCATTTTCAATCATAGAAATCTAAATTTAAATACCATCTAATAAATTTCTAAAGCAAAACATCTACACAAGTGTCCAAGATATCATGCATAAAACCGGTTTTTCCACTCCGAAAATGTTAATTTGGAATTTTGAATAGTATGAAGTGTATGTATGCTAGTTGGAAATGTATGTGTCCGTTCGAAATGTACCCAATGTTAGATTCCAGAATACCTTTATGTCAAATCTTACAAACCAATCACCAACTTTAGAACAACCATTACTACGTGTTCTAGATAAAATGATTAATTTTCAAATATGAAAAAATGGTTATTTTCCATATATAAGAAAAAGTGGTAATTTTTGTTAATATCTCTTATTTCAAAATCTATACTACATGTAAGGTCATGTAAAACAAATGTGGTTCAAGATAAATCAAGGTTACATCATTTATCTCAAATTAAAATCTATCATTAAACATATGTACTTTGAATTGTTATAAGTGTATATCAATTTTAAAACTAAAACAAATTAAAAACACTCATTATCAATTTATATCGAGGTGGGAAACCAAAAGAAGACTATGAGGATAATATTTCTATTTAGTATATGGATATCCCACCCTCATAATAAATATTTCCACCATTCATATTACAGTGACTTGTTATTAAAGTTCGGGTAGAGAGTATTGCAAATTTGCAATAACGTAATTAAAGTAATATAAACTTTTTAAGCCAATAGATATTTACATTCATATTACATTGACGTGTTTACATTTCAACATCATTCACATATCAATATTTTTATGCAAAATTCGCATATCAATATTTTTACATATTCTTTTATTTTATGTGCAAAACATGGGGATGAGCCTAGTACTTATATATTTTTTTGAATTTTTGAATGGAATATTATAAAAAAAGTAAAAAAAAAAATGCAAACTCACCCAACCCGTCTCAAAGTCTATCACCTTGTGGTATACACAAATCGAATCGATTCCCATAACAAGTTGCATTGCGTCAAGAAACAAAAATCCTAATACTTCATCAATTAATTCACGCAAGTGCCGGAGCTATTCAGGATAAAGGGGCAATCAATTCAGGTAATTAAGTGCCGGAACATATCTGTAATTCATTAATCAAGATTTATGAATTTGTGGAATTTGGGGTTGATTAATCAAACTATAGCCTAGTATTTGACGTTCAAGGTTGGAGAATTGTTGATTCTAAGCGTTGAATGTAGGTGATCAGGGTTTTGATTAATTTCTTGTTTTTATCAGCTAATGTTATACTATTGTTCACATGAACGCATTGATAATTGTGCATAGTCGAAAAGATTCAACATCTTATTCATGGAGGTTTTTTTTTTGGTGATTTTTACAGTCAACTGATCAAATGGGAAAGAAGAAGACGAAGACAAATGATAAACAAGGAACAAAAGAGAAGATTCCGGTTTCAGCATTGCTAGCCAGCATGGATCAGAAACTCGATAAAGCAAAGAAAGGATCATCCTCTAGCTCTACTACCTGTAAATCGAAGCCAAAACATCGTCCGAAGTTACAATCATATCCAGACATTGATCTTCCTTCTTCAAATGATGACGAAGATGATGAGGTAGACTATCTATCTACCGAAGATGAATATCAAAACGAAGAAACCAAAAAATCCAGTAGAAAACAGAGGGCCAACAATACGAGTTTTGATTTATCCACAACTGAGAAAGAGTTGCAGAAACGAAAAAAGAGAGAGATGCTTGTTGCCCAATTGTTAGAACAGGCGAAAGAAGAGGCTCTAAAGGACGATCCAAATGCATTTACAGTGGTGATTGGTGCTCGAGCTTCTGTTCTTGATGGTGAAGATGAAGCAAATGCGAACGTAAAAGACATAACAGTCGATGATTTATCTGTTTTTGTTCGTGGGAAAGAGTTATTGAAGAATACATCTGTGAAAATCTCTCATGGAAAAAGGTATGGATTAATCGGGCCTAATGGAAAGGGGAAATCGACGCTTTTAAAGCTTTTGAAATGGGAGAAGATTCCTCGACCTAAAAACATAGACGTCCTGTTGGTAGATCAAGAAATAGTCGGTAATGAGAAAACCGCCATTGAAGCTGTTGTTTCAGCAAACAAAGAGCTTAATGAGCTCCGTGAAAAGGTTGCTCTCATCGAATCAAATCCATCCGATGATAATGAAGTCAATAACGCTGAAGAACTGGCTGAATTATACGATAAGTTGCAAATCATGGGTTCGGATTCAGCAGAAGCTCGAGCTTCAAAGATCTTAGCGGGTTTAGGGTTTACAACAGTGATGCAACACCGGACAACACAGTCGTTTAGCGGCGGATGGCGGATGAGAATCTCGTTAGCCCAAGCGCTTTTAATGCAACCGACTTTGTTGTTACTTGATGAACCAACAAATCATCTTGATCTTCGAGCTGTTCTTTGGTTAGAAGAGTACTTATGTCGATGGAAGAAAACCCTAGTTGTCGTTTCACACGATCGCGACTTTTTAAACACCGTCTGCAACGAAATCATCCATCTTCACGATCTGAAACTCCATCACTACCGTGGTAATTTTGACGATTTTGAAAACGGATACGAACAGCGACGTAAAGAAATGAATAAAAAGTTCGAAACTTTTGACAAGCAAGTGAAAGCTGCTAAAAGATCCGGGAATCAGAAACAACAAGAAAAGGTGAAAGATCGAGCTAAATTTGAAGCCAGAAAGAAAGGGAAAGGGAAAAGGAAAGGGAAGGTTGATGAAGAAGGCGACATTCTTGAAGCTCCAAAAAAATGGAGAGATTACACAGTTCAGTTTCATTTCCCTGAACCTACCGAATTAACACCACCATTGTTACAGCTTATTGAAGTAAGCTTTAGTTACCCTGAAAGAGACGACTTCAAGCTTTCGAATGTTGACGTCGGGATCGATATGGGTACACGTGTCGCGATAGTGGGCCCAAACGGGGCAGGAAAATCGACTTTACTAAACCTCCTTGCCGGAGATATAACTCCGGTGACCGGAGACGTAAGGAGGAGTCAAAAGTTAAGAATCGGACGTTACTCACAGCATTTTGTTGACCTGTTGAGTATGGGAGAAACACCGGTTCAATATCTTCTTCGGCTTCACCCGGATCAAGACGGGTTTAGTAAACAGGAAGCGGTTCGGGCCAAACTTGGGAAATTTGGGCTTGTGAGCTATAACCATTTAAGCCCAATTGCCAAGTTATCGGGTGGGCAAAAGGCCCGAGTTGTTTTTACATCGATTTCGATGTCTAGACCACATATCTTGCTTCTTGATGAGCCTACGAATCATTTAGATATGCAGAGTATTGATGCACTTGCTGATGCGTTGGATGAGTTTACAGGTGGTGTTGTTCTTGTTAGTCATGATTCTAGATTGATATCTAGGGTTTGTGATGATGAAGAAAAGAGTGAGATTTGGGTGGTTGATGATGGACATGTGAAGGCGTTTGGAGGTAGTTTTGAGGAATATAAAGAGGAACTTCAAAGGGAGATTAAAGCCGAGGTTGACGATTGATTATTTTTCATATTATTAGTTATTACAATACTTATACATCAAAGTTGTAAAAAAAAAAAAACATTTTGTACAATAGAAAAGATCCTAAAGCCTTGTGGTTATGTTTTGGGTGTGATCTTGTAATGGAACCCGTTTGGAAACCTTATAATTGGAGCTCTAACAATTTTTCCGCCGTTGACTAGTTCCCATCTGTACAAAACAAATAGTTGTTAATAATCATGAAACAGACCATGAACCAAGCCTAAAATGTTGAGATCCATACCTGTATTTTGTGACAAGAATATGTAAGAAGGTGGCTAAGAAGACCCGACTGTATTCGGCACCGGCACATTGCTTCATACCCGAACCAAAGGGCATGAAACTTTTTGCGACCACACTTGGGTTCAAATCCTACAATAATTAAAAATGCAAAAGAAACCATAAGATTCAAGGGACTAATAATTACTGTAGCTATTTTTGTATTTATATATAGTTTAGGGACTATTCTTGTCATTTTACATTTTATGTTGGATATATTGTGTAGATATAAAATTGATATGTTTAGCAAAACTAACTAGTAGCTTAAGCTATGAACTTTTATTTGTATAATAACTTTATATCTTTATACCTTCCATCGTCCTGGGTTGAATGTTAGTGGATCCTCGAATTCACTAGAGTTTAAATGTAATGCAGCCGAGGCTAACAAAATAACCCATCCTTCAGGTATTGTATATCCTGAAATTCAATTTTCGATTCTTATAAATGTTAACATTTCATCAAGAACAACTTAACAAACTTGGGCTGGACCGTTGAATTTTGGACCCACTAGTTTTTTCAGAAAATAAGTCGGAACAACTTAACAAACTTGGACCGGGCCTGATAGGCCCGGTTCTCACCCTGACACCAAGACTGGACCAGATTTGGATCAGACTTTGTGGGCCCAGTTGTGCATACCATTGATTGAAATATCTTGTAGGGCCCGTCGAAGCAGTCCTGGAGATATGTTTCCTAGCCTGAGTATCTCATTTATAACCTGTAATTTTGTAGTAATTAAATAACAAATTAAATATGTGCATCATATACTAGTATATTGAGATTACTTTACTTGAAGAGTGAAGGTCATGGATTTATAGTCACTCCATGTAAGTGGGGAATCCATGTTTTCTTTCTTTTCGAGTATAGCTTCATGCTCGGCCTGAAATACATCGATTCACCTTTTTACAAATTTACATGAATATGCCAATCAATAAGTCTTCTTTTATATATGTATATAGATATAGATACGTACAGTTAGTTCATCTAGAACTTCAGGGTGTTCAGCGAGAAACTTGAAAGCTAAGGCACATGTCGTTGAGATAGAATCTGAGCTCACAAAGAGAAGCCCGAACATCAACTGTATGATGAACCCTTCTGATAAGAAATCTTCAGTGTCCATGTCGTTGATTAGATAATGGAGTAAATCTTCACGTTTCTCGTTTGAACAACGCCTCTTTCTTAACACCTCACTCATCAGTTCACGCACTTGCTTGTGACTCTACGTGTATTCCCAAATTCCATTAGAAATAATCCATCATATATAGATTGTAGTTTAATAATCACGTTCAGCTGTTCACGTATGTATATGTATATACCTTTAAGCACCTATGATGAGCAGTTCCCGGGATGTTTAAAGGGAAAGACATAAGGCCATCAACGAGGTTATTGAACATATCGCTTAACTTCAGAGGTGCATCATCGAGATCACCACTAAACAATTGCTTTGCAGCGAAATCAATGGTTAGCTGCAACAAACAATGGTTATATTTAATGTCATAAACTGTGTAGTATATATACTAGTATGCCAAAGGGTTTACAGTGATAGTTGCGCTTTTCACTTCGGTAGAATCTTGGCTTGACCAAGCACGAAGTGTATCGTTTATGGCGTTCTCCATTTTAGGAAGTAGCTTCTCCCTTAACGCCTCGATCCCAAAGTGGTTCAAAGTCAAATTCCTCGTGTATTTTCTTGAAGATTGTGTTGTTTGGTCAAACACTTCCGCAAATGTGTCAAGCGACCATGTGTCAACCAACTTACCATCTTGCCGGAGGAGGAAGTGGTTGAACTCACGATCCGCAGTCACTATCACCGGTCTACCAGCCAAATTTGTACGAAAGATAGGCCCATATCTGAATAATTATATTAATTGGAATATCAATTTGTAATTAATCATGATAAAGATTAAAACAATTGTATGTTACTTTTTGATTCGGGTTTTGATGAATGGAGGGAGGTCAAGAGAAGCACTAGGTATGATCAACCCTAGGGTTTCACCTATGAACGGGAGACCCATTGAGCCAGGAGGAAGCACACCGTTGCATTTAGGGTTCTGCCATCTTTTGAGCCATCGGGCGATCAACACCGCCAGCAAACCGCCCATGCAGAGTACTATTGTCGACATGTTGACCACCGAAAGGAAGTCCAAGTAGGAGGTAGACATTTGTGGTTCTATTGATTGAAGGC